CTAAAAAGTAAGAAGTTATTAGAGAGACAGTAACAGAAAGAATAGAAGTATCTTCAGAATAGGATAAAATGAGAATTAGATAATTAGAATAATAATTAAATTAATTGTAATAAGATTATTACACTTTGAATTAGAAAAAGTAAGAAAAAATAAAAGAAACAATTACAGTTGAAGTGCCATCTGAGACTGATAAGTATAGAATAAGATAACTTGAATAGCAAATATCATCTTTAAAAGAAGAATTAAATGTAATTCAAGTTGAAAATTAGAATATGAAAATTCAAATGAAAAGTCTTTAAACTACAAATTATGAATACTAAGATCAAGTGAGAATATATTAATCAAAATTAGAAGAAAACTAAAAGTAAAGATCTGTTGTTATTTAATTTGAGAGGAAAGAATAAGAACTTTTGGAATAAATATAAAATTTAGAGACTTTAAAAGGGAGAGAAATCAAAGAATTAAAAAATTAGATGGAATTTCTATAGAAAGAGAATTAAAAAATAAATGATATGATGAGAATTAAAATAGAGGAGAGTGAATAATGGAAAAGAAAATATTTAACTGTTTAAAGTGAAATGTCTTCAAATTCTAGTGAAGTTGAATCTTTAAGAATGTAATTGAAATCATTAGAATAAAGTAGAGAAACAATTAAATTAGAATTAGATAAAGTAAATAAAATGTACTTTTAAAGTTAAAATGAATATACTTAATATAAATCAAAATGTAATGAACTTGAATTAAGAATCAAATAAATTAGTAGAGAGAATTAGGAATATTAAGAGAGATATTAATAAATTGATTTTGAAAAAATTAATAGATTAGAATAAGAAAATAGAAGAAAAACAGACACTATTTAATAATTAGAATTATAATTGAGAAATCAAGTGTCTATCAAAGATCTTTAAAATTAATTATCTAATAAAGATAAATAAATATTTTAATTATAAGAAAATATTTCAGAATTACAAGCTACTATTAGAACTTTGAGAGTAGAAAATTAGACAATTTCTGAATAAAACAATAAATAATAAGTTATTGTTAGAGAAACATAAAAGTAATTTGATTTATATTAATTTATAGTAATTAAAAGATTGTGGAATTAGAAACAAGAATATAGGGTCTTAATTAAGAGATATAGAGATAAATATAAATGAAAGATTAAATTTAAATAAAACATGATAAATTGATTGAGAGAGTAATTTTAAATTAATTATTTAGGCTACTGAATATGAATCAGAAATTAATATTCTAAGAAATGAATTACAAAAGAAAAGATTTAGTTCTACAAATAATGGACCTATTGTTTCAAAAACATTTGAAATTCATAAAATAGGAGAAGTTGTAAATAATGGTACAGGATTGGTTTCAGGATTTAATTTAGAAGATACTAGAAAAATAAAATCAATAGTTAGTACATAATAATATAAATCTGAAATATCAAATTCAGCATCCAATATTAAAGAATCCTAGTAGTATATGAAATCTAATTCATAAGTATAACCATTTAATCCTTTAAGAAGCGATGTATATATATTATATTTAATCATAGTTAATTAAGTCAAAGGCATAATTGAATAGAATGGATGAAAAATCTTATCAATGAATTTTTATATTATAAAACAATAATTTGTTAATATTCATTTTAAAAAAGCTTTAAATCTAATTTGATAATCCTTAAAAATCTTTTATCATCTTAGGAAACTCAAAAATAGCTAATAAAAATAAGATTTTAAATTTCTAATAATTTAGTTCACTTATATTTTATTAGTTTTATTTTTGCAATCTATTCATTTGAATTAAAGTTTTACATTAAAACTAATAGATAGAATAAATACAAAAGATAATTTAATTAAGTGACTAGTTTCCTTCAAGAAATAATAATTTATAAATAATTATAAAAAATTCTCATAGATTTTCCTCACCTATTTTAATTTCCTTTGGAACTTTGTAATAGTAGTATTGCTATTGTATTTGAGATTAATCTTTCTTCAAAGAGTTTAATTCTTAATCGTAGACACTCAAACCCACTAACTAATTTTTTCTCAGTATTTTACTTTTAATCCGTTATAATCAGATACAGATCTACCCTTGTCATAACCATTTTTATTTTTGATATCAGAAATTAATTTTTATGGATTAGGTATCTCTAATAGTTCCCTACTTGGTATTTATTGTAATAGATCTTATTTTAGTTACAATCTTTCCTATTCTTCTTTTTATATAACTTTCTATTATATAAACAAATATTATATACTTAAGGTCTATATTGAGATCTTAGTCTTTGATGCCATGTTATAACTGGATTTTTTGATTCTTCAGGTTTCAATTCTTCAAACATTTCAAGAGAGTCTAACCTAGATCTATACTCTAATTATTCAATAAAATAAAATACAAGCCTATCTTTCAATTAAAGTATTTGAATTATTTTTCATACGAGTACTTATTTTAGTTGATAATTCATTCCATACTTACAATTATTTTTCATGTTTATTTAATGCTCTTTAATGTTGAGTTTTCAATATTTTTTCTGTTGCTGAAATTTTTTACAATTAATCTTAGGCATATTTTTCATTATTCTTAATTATTTTCTATATTTTTTCCATTGTTTATATTAACTCATATTTATCAAGTACTTCAAAATTAGCATCTCCTGTTTTTTATATTACATGCTATTAATTTGTTATATTTTTTTTGCTTCTATAAGATGAATTTAGACTTGATGGTTCATTAGTATTGGCTAAAAGTATATGCAAATGTTATAACTTCTTTTAATCCTCTTTTACATATTAGATAACTTTACAGGTTAACTAAAACGAATAGGTTTTTCAAGATCATTAGCTTATTTATTAAAAGTATCCACTTTGCCTACTATTGATCGAGATAAAATTTCATTAGTTGAATTTTTATGACTAAAGTCTAAAATTTGATAATCAGGACTTTAAGCTAATTGATTACTGATTTTGTACTTTGAAATATGTTACTGGAATGTAAGTCTTAATCTGCAAATGGCCAACTCATTTAATTCTACTCTGCTACAACTTTCCTTAATAATAATGTATGCTTTCTTTTCATTCTTTTTAATAAATATTTTTATAATATTAATAGATATTTCTTTTTAGAAAAACTAATAATTTTTCAAATATGAATTTCACAAAATTTTTAGTAAAATATAAATGTAATATCTTTCTAATTATCAATAAAATTAATTAAAGAATCTAATAAAATTACATTATTAATATGTTTTAACTATAGATATCATTAATAAACTTGTAAAGGAAGATAAATTAGAATTGTTTTAAATCAAAATTTATAAAGAATTATAGATCCTAATAAAATGAAGTTTAAGTTAGTCAAAGTTTATAAAAAGAAATTAAATCCTAAAACATTATTGAGTAATTAACATATAATTATTTGATAATTACAAACAAAAAATACAATTGCAAAATTATGTTAAAGAAAAAAATAAAAAATATATTTATATCTTCCACTTAAAATTGATATCTAATGGTTTTTAAATATATTTGCGTTATTTAGTGAATTTGAAAAAAGAGATGAATTTAAAGAAATATAATATTATGGTCAAGAAATCTCATATAGTTAATATTCACTTATTAAAATCTTTTTTTTAAAATATAAATAAATGGTTAGCAGATTAAGAAAATGCAGAAAGATGAGAGGACATGTCTGCCATGGTTATGGTAGAGTTGGAAAACATAGAAAACATCCAAGTGGTAGAGGTGTTTCAGGAGGTTTGACACATCATAGAATCAACTTCAATAAATATCATCCAGGATATTTCTAAAAAGTATTTACAAAACTTATAGATAGACTGGAATGAGACATTTCCATTTAAAGAAGAACACACTTCATAAACCAGTTGTAAATATTGACAAATTGTGGTCTCTTGTTACTGACGAAACTAGAGAAAAATATTCCAAATCAAAAGATAAAGCTGCAGTCATTGATGTTACAAAGGCAGGCTATTTCAAGGTTTTGGGTAAAGGAAGATTACCAAATCAACCAGTTGTTGTCAAGGCTAAATTCTTTAGCAAAACTGCAGAAAGAAGAATCAAGGCTGTAGGTGGTGCATGTATACTTGTTGCCTGATACATTATATACATTAAAACAACATTTATCAATGTCATTAGAATTATCTTTTGGGTACATCCATTCTTTTTATTTATTTTTTTTAATATATATTGTTTTATTTTAAGAAAATGGATTCTGATGCTATTATGTAAAAAATGGCAGTGATTTTTGATGATCCTGAATAAAAGTTACTTAATGAAATTTCAGAAATCAATAAGAATAGATATAAGACCTAAATGCAAAAATTGAATGAGCTTAAAGAAATATAAGAGGAATCAGATATTGAAATTCAAAAATAGAAAAAATTAATTGATTAATTAGAAAAATCATTAATCATTGAATCTAATAAGTCTAAACAATATGATGAAATATTAAAATAATATGAAAGTGAAGGCAAGTCTTTATCTGATGAAAGTAAAAAATATATTATTCAAATTACACAACTTAGTGAGAAAGTTGAGAATATTAAAAAATAATATTTATAGGCATAAGAAAAATAAGATACCATGGAAAGAGAATAATAATAGTAATTAAAAGATTTAGATAATTGGAGCAAGAATACAAAGAACTTATAAAATGAATTATAAAAGAAAGATTAAAAATAAATTAAATTGCTTGAAGAATTAACATAAGTTAAAATATAACAATAGGAAATCAAGTAAGTAGAATCAAATGATGATTTACAAAAATAATTAGATAAATTCTTATCAGATAATAAAAGGTTATTAAAATAAAGATAAGAAGTTGTGGCTGTATTCAAAAAATAAGCTAAAATTATTGAAATCTTAAAAAAATAGAAGCTACATTTATAGACATCTACTTCTCTTGATTTAACAGAATAAGATTTTGCTAAGATTGTTGATTTTAGTTTATGAAATTATTATTTCTACTTTTATTTTAGATAGAATTTTTTACTAAATATTTGTATTATTTTATGATGAAAATGAATATCATCTTCCAGACCATGAGGCAACTTATTTCTTGAAGATAATGATCACTTATTCAATTATAGCATTCTCTTCATCTCTCTTAGCCTTAGCTTCAGCATAATCTGCTCTTTTAGCTTCCAAATCAGCTTAGGCTTAATCAAGAGCATCTTAAGATTCTTGTAAAATAATCTTGGATTTAGCTTATTAAGCAAGAGCTGCTTAAATTTACTAGAATTTATTATTTAATAAATATTACAGTTGCTAATCTATCAGCATAAACTTATTTTCTTTCATATTCAACTTTCAAAGTAGCAATTTCTGCTTCACTCAATGAAACCCATCCAGCTAATTCCCATGAGGCATTAATTTCATTAGTTTCAAGTGCTTCAAGGGAAGCTGCAAGATTAGCTTCAAGTCCTTCTAATACTGATAAAACTCTTTCAGCTAAGGTTGCTCCTCTACTAACTGATCCATCCTCTTAGTTATTAGCTAATTAAAGGAATGAATTAATTTCATGTTCATTAAATGTATTGCTGTATGATTTAAGTTTTTCAGCTACACTTTGAACTTACACTAATTCAAAAGAATCTCCATTAATAATATATCCTGCAACATCTTATTTGAGTAATCTCACAACTTCAAGAGCTTCTCTATTTTATTTGATTGATCTAACAAAAAGTTGATTGCTTAAGCATTATTAATCAAGCAAAACATCAATTTTTCTGGCAATTTCATCTTATCTTTGTTCATTCCATGCAAGATAATTTTTAGTGTCTGATAACTCTTATTCAAATTAGGCTCTGTTTTCAATTGATTATTGGAATAACTTTTGATTCAAGGTCTTGATTTTAGTAAATTATTCAATTGTTCTGAATATAATTATTAATGTCTTACTAAGCACCAACCCATTCATCTGTTTCATTTTTTTAGTCAGCTGCAAATTAAGCATCCTTATTTGATTGTATTAGATCATTTAATAAACCAAAAACTGTATCAATAGCATCCATAGCCTTTGTACCAGTTTACAAAAAGGCCATGATTTGATCATGAGTAGAAGTGGCTGAGGCTAATGTTACTAATAATACTAGAGCAAGAGTCAATTTCATTAATATTATCAATAATTTTAATGCTCTTAAATAATGAATATAAGCGTAACCTACCCGTTTCCAGATAAATATATAAAAAAAACGGGTATTAATATAAAAAATAAAATTAATAAACTTATCAACCTCTCTAATGTTTCTATATATAATTCTTTTCATTAAATACATCTACTAATCAAACTTCATTATGTTCAAATAATGATTTCAAATTATATACATGATTATTGTTATTTCATTTTATATTCAATCTATTTTTTAATTTATTAGAGAATAATCAATATATATGATTATTGAATGATTATTTTGTTGAGTTGAATCAATATTTATGTAAAAATATAAAAATATTCTATTAAAATGTAAAGAAATGTTAGATTTATTGATTATATTTTGATAGAACTTTAAAATTAATAGTTGCAAACTATATTTAATATATAGTAGTATCTGAAAATTAGAGTTGATGATATAATTTTTAATTTACATGTAAATAAATGGTTGTATTTCAATAATGGATGTTGTTTATGTTTTGAATATATTGTCATAATTTTTGAAATTGATTAATTTATTATAAAAATGATTAAGAATTCAAATAAATTAAGTTATTCTAATTTAAACATAATAGTGCAAATCCTCAGAGTAGTTTGTAGTAATAAGATATATATTTTTGGCTGAAATGAAGTTATTTAGTAAATTACAAATTTTTTAGATAAAAGGGTTTGTTAATTTATATAAAATATTAATGAATAAGTATGAAATCATGGGCGTTGTAGGTGAAGGAGCTTATGGCATAGTGTTAAAATGCAAAAACAAGGAGACTAATGAATGGGGTTAGTTATTTTTAATTATATATTAAAGTGGCTATAAAAAAGTTTAAAGAAACAGAGGATGATGAAGCAGTGAAGAAAAGTATTTAAAGAGAAGTGAAAATGTTGCGAATGTTGAAGCATCCTAATATTATTTAATTGAAGGAAGCATTCAAAAAGAAAGGCAAAATATTTCTTGTTTTTTAATTCGTTGATAGAAACCTATTAGAATTATTAGAAGAGAGAAAAACTCTAGATGTATGTTTATTGCATTTAAAATTAGTAAGAAAGCATTAAACGAGTGATATTTTAATTGGTTCTTGCTGTTCATGCTTGTCATTCTGTAGGAATTGTGCATAGAGATATAAAACCTGAGAATTTACTTATAGACAATGAACTTAATTTAAAGTTATGTGATTTTGGTTTTGCAAGAGTAATATAAATCTAATTATTAGACAATATAAAGTTAAGAATAATTGACTGATTATGTAGCTACAAGATGGTATAGATCACCTGAGTTACTGATATCTAATAATTATGGAAAATAAGTAGATATTTGGGCAATTGGTTGTATTATGGGAGAATTGATAGATGGTTAACCATTATTCCCAGGTGAAAATGAGATGGATTAATTATATCTAATATAGAAGATAATTGGTCCATTGACTTAAGATTAGATGGAGAAATTTTAGAAGAATTAAAGATATATAGGAATGAAGTTTCCTGAAATTGTAAAATCAGAAACTATTGAAAAAAGATATTCTGGTAAAATGTGTAATAAAGGATTAAATTTCTTAAAGTAATGTTTGATTATGGATCCAAATAAAAGAATTACTTCTTTAGAATGTTTAGAGCATCCATATCTATCAGATTTATGGAGTAAAGAAAATGATGTTAGACCTAAAAGTAATTTTTAGAGAAGGATTAGTTGTGAAAGAGATGATTCTAAACCTAGTATTATAAATTAATATGATTTTGGTGAATAGAAACCAAAAAAGATTCAAGAGAAAGCTATTCCATAAACAATATAAAATTAATCATTTGTTTAAAAATAAGTATATAATTACAAAATAGGAGATGAAACTCCTGAAATTACCAAAGAAACAGATGATACTAAATCATAAATGCATAAAACATTTAATTAATCATTCAAAATTAAATTTAATGATACTTTACCTTAAAGTAGATTAGGATCAGAATAAGACAAGAGAATTAATAGAGTTATTGGTTTACCAGGATTAAAGGAAGATTCTAAATAATAATAATAATAGTAATAATAATAATAATAATAATAATAATAACAGACTAATCATAATAAATCTCCTAACAAAAGAACTTCTATCTAATAACCATCATTTTATGTTTAGGTATTTATATAATCATATATATAGGGATAATATAATTTGTAACCTTAAAAGCTTAATCTAGTGTATAATGCTAATACGTATAATTATTCAATAAAGAAATCGTACATCTCAAAAAAATGATTTATTAATATATTTTATTGATATTAAATGTTTTATATTTATTCTCTATAATTCCTACTTTAAATGATTTTATTCATATATCAATAAAATATAATATTTAAGGCTATTGTTAAATAAATATTTATATATTGGAATTAATAAAATAAGATTTTTAATATCTTCTTTGTTGAAGCAACTTTTCAAATAATAAGGTTATTCATAAATTAATTAACTAATAAATAATTTACTTATTATAATAACACTAAACCAGTTTACTAGAATTTAAATTTTTTAAAAGTAAAAATAAATCCGTTTATAAAATAATTCTTATTCACAACACTTATATTATATGATGATAATTATTTATACTTACCATTTATAATCCTATATAGTAAAGTAAAAGGAAAATATTAAGCAAATTAAGAATTAAATAGTTAGGAATGAAATAATTACATATAATTTAATTAAAATGTTCGTTAATAATTCTTGTCTGCCAAATAGTATGAATTGTATTATAGCGCCATTAAATGGAGTCGGTGGTGTTTATTTAGGAAATCTGGATGCTGCTTAGAATTCAGAGCTATTATCAAAATATTAAATAGGAGCTGTTCTTTCTGTGATAGATTAATCAATTCAAATCAGAGGAGCATAGAAATTGGTAAATAATATATAATATATAATCTAGTGGATAATGGCTGATGATTGTGAAGATTTCCCTTTGTATAAATATTTTGATCAGGCTACCAAATTTATAGATAATCATTCTCTTAAAACTAATATATTGATTCATTGTTATGCCGGAATTTCAAGATCTGCTGCAATTTGTGCTGCGTATATGATGCAAAAATATAAATGGAATTTGAATTAAACTCTTAGACATATTTAATAAAGGAGAAGATTTATTAATCCAAATCCAGGATTCATTAAATAACTTTAAGATTATGAATAAAAAATGAAAACCAAATAAATTAGAAAAAATAGTTCTGTTATAATGGATTCAAATGAAAAATCTAGGCATAATTCAGTTGGATATGATGGAAATATTATGAATTTAAATGGAACTAATTCTATCAATAAATAAATCCTTAATCAAACTATGTAACAAAATCAAAGAGATAGATTAAGTGATTTTAATGTAAAATTAAACTCATATTTACATTAATGGAAAATAAGAGAGAGAGCTCATTGAAATAATCTATTTTTATACTAATTTTATTTAATGACGCATTTTCATTATTTTTGTTTGAATTTCTTTTTTTAAATCCTATAATAATACGTATTAATATAAAGATATTTAAATGAAATACTAGAATCTACATTAAACAATTATAAGCTTAAATCAATCAGAATAATTGTGAGTCTTCTTTTGTCTCACTTTTTCTAATTAGAATAGGAGAATCAAGATTTGGAACATCACTAATGAATTTAGATCTAATTCCACATAGTATTTAACTAAATTCATTTGAATCATCATCTGATGAAATAATGTCAGCAAAAGGAACTTTAATTACCACTCTTTTTTCAATCTTCACTTTTTTTTTAATGGGGATTTCTTATGTCTCCTAATCTTAAATTTTCTCTGTCTGTTTTTCTTTTTAAGAACAAATTGAAGATTTACGTCTGCTCATCAATATTTTAATTATATATTAATATTTTGTACTTATTTAAAAATCATTTAAAATCACATTATGTTTAGCAAATCTTTAAAATCATTCTTACTTCATCCATAATATAAAAGGATCCAATCACCAATATTATCTAATCATTTTAACATACTTTATTCACTATTTCAAAAGTAGTTTTTGATATATCACCATCATATAAAATATTAATCTCATTAGAACCTAATAATTATTTAATTTAAAATGCCCTATTATTCTTTGCTTAAACCATATACACTTAATGACAATTTTATTTTAGCAATTATAAACATGATGTAATATCTTTATCATTAGATGCTCCATATATACAAATAATTTTTTAATCTTTTAATAAATCTAAGACACTTTTCTATTTCTTATAATATATTAATTACAATAGCTTATTCATTATGACCAACATCAAGATATACTTTAATATTGTCTCCCTTATCATTCTAGATATTGAATTATTCAAGTCTACATGGTTATTTAATTTTTAAAACTTCTTCAAAGTTATTTAATTTGAATTCTAATATGAATTATATTATTACAATATTTTTCCATTAAAATTTTAGATGCAGCCATTACTATTGCATTATTTTCATCATTAAAATCTTAAAATTCACCTTAAACTATAGTTAAATCAGCATTCTTTTATTATGCCTCCTTAATAAAAATTTCATATGGCTTACTTTTTGGACCTATAACAACAGGACAATTTTATTTAATAATTCCAGCTTTTTCTTTGGCAATTAGTTCCAATGTATTTCCAAGTATATGCATATGATCATATCCTATTGTTGTAATGATAGATATTAAAGGAGAACTGATTATATTTGTTGAATCCATTCTTCCTCCTAAACCAGTTTCCCATGATACATATTTAAGATTCATATCATTAAAATATTTTAATGCTAAACATGTCACATATTCAAAAAAAGTTAATTCAAGATTATTTCTTTCTGCTAAATTAAAAAAGTCATTTAAGTGTTCTTATACGTATTCTTCAGAAATCATTTAATTATCGACCTCATTTTGTTGATAAATGTACTTTAATTCTTTCTCTAAAACTTGATATATGAGGTGATGTAAAACAACCACATGATTCAATTGATTGCATTAATTTGCACATTTTAAGTGTGACAGATCCTTTTCCATTTGTACCTGCTATATGTATGAATTATAGATTTTCTTATGGATTTCCCAATAATTAAGTCATTTTTATCATATTTGTTAATGTTGCTCTATCTTTTCTAAATACATAAACTTAGTTAAGTTTTTATAATGTTTTTTAGTATTTTTACATAAATAAAAAATAATACAATAAAAATCATTTCGTCATGACTTTTGATGTCTTATTAAAGACATTTTATCATCAAGATCTTTAATTAAGGCTTGAATAAGAGTTAAGCTTTTGTTAAATCCAGCAGCATTAGCTCTTAAAGAATCAATTTTTGGCATTTTTACAATTTCAGGTGTTGTTGTAATATTGATTTTTAAGCATTTGGCTGCAGTTAATTCATCTTCATTTTCTATGAATATTTATATATATCTTTACCTTTGAGAGTTTATTTTAGACGTTCAATTTCTTCCTATGATGATGATTTATTAGCTTCCAGATCAGTTTGTGCTAAGGCTAATTGTTCGAGAACCTTATCTAATTTCACTTCTAAATCTTTATTTGATTCTTCTAGCTATCTTAATATAATTGAAAACAATACCTAATTTTGTTATCATTTAAATCTTAATCAACTTCTAGATCAATAATTTGCATTTTATAAGTTTAGAGTGTTTTTTATAATTCAGCAATTTGTGCATCCTTTTTATTTATTTACTTTTCTAATTGATTTTAAATTTACTACAATTCATACTAAATAATATTAAATAATATATTTACTCTAGCTTTTTGGGTTTCTTCTTTTTGTTGTAGAAGAGAATTTTATGCCTAAGCAAGTTATTTACTTAAGGATTCAATATTCTTTTATTATTAATCTTCTAATAATTGACTTTCTTCTACAAATTAATTATATTCTTCTTCCATTTATTAATATTTTTCAACCATCTCTTCATACAACTATTTGTAGTTCATTTAATTATGAATAATTTATATTTAGTATAATATTTAATTTACTCATTTAAAGCGTTTGCTTAACTTCTAAATTCCATATTTAACACTTAAGAATGGAGAAATCATAGCCAAATTATAAAATAGCATACGTCTTGAAGAAAATTGATTTTTTCTTTTAACACTTTCTTTAATAAGATCATTGATTCTTTCTTAACTCATCATTTTTAAAGTTCCCATATTATCTTTTTCACCTAATACAATACTTAATAATTATCCAGGTATCAAAGAACATAAGAATTCCCTAAAATCAAATAAAAATATATTACAATGATTTCACACTATTATCAATTAATATCTCACCATCTTTTTAAATTTTAATCACATTATTTAGATCACCTAGATTAGAAAGGTAAAGATCAGTTATATTTTTATAATTTCCTTTGAGAATATTGAAAACTTTATTTTGGTTTTCACCTCCCAAAGTAAATCTAATATCACCATAATAAGATAAACTTATAACACTATAAAGTAACTCTTATAATGACATAGATTATTTGAAATCCATTAAAATAGCTATAGCTATTGCACTTTATAAATTAGAAATGCATGCTCTTTAATATCGCAAATTTTCAAATTCTTAAATAGTTACTATTGGTTTCTACATTCTACCAGCAATAGACAACCATTTCCAACTTTCTAGATCTTTGATTAATTCTTTAGTTGACACAACACCATATTTTAATTTCAAATCTTAATATTAAACAAATGGACTGAAATGGATAGGAAATATTTCAACATTCATTCTCTATATGAATCGACTTCCTAAATAATAACTTAAACCACTATAATGCTATGGTAGTAATATATATACTGCTGAATTGATTTGAATATTCTGTTGATGCCACTCTTCTACATTATCTACTGCAATAATTAAATCTATCATAGGTTTATTTTTTGTATAATCATAATTGAATTATGGTTAAACAGCTGATCCATAAGCAAATGACAAATCACTTTAAGGTAAAGTTTAAATGAATTATTTCAATAAAGTCATAGGAATTTATTACATATTTATGATTAATATTAATAGTCAAATAATAAATAATTAAATGAATAACATTTATATATATATATATTATATTTGTCAAACTCCTTATATAAAATTATCGAGCATAAACCATGAATTCTCTCTTTAATCTTATGGGACCATCTATAATTTATATATATATATATTGAATTACATGTCCAGCACCTCTGATAACTTGGAATCTGAAATAATTGTATTCGACAATCCATCCTGCTAATTAATCTTTTAATTTTCCTGGATGAGTATTCAAATAAGGAGTCCAACCTTTGATTTCTTTAACTCCTGGTATCTATTTGATACTTTCATATGTCTCAACCATACTAACAGCTAAATCTTGATCACCAGAATATAAGAGTATTTTAATTCCTGCTTAAAATAATTCAGGTAAAATTAAATAACTTCCCTCTGATTTAGTATATTAAAGATAAACTGGATCACTACATCCTGTCCAAACAGTATCCATATCTACATGAAGTGCCTATTTATATTCATCAGTGTTTAATTTATTAGCTAAAGGTCCAAAATCAATACAAGGAGCACTACTATCATCATCATCTTCACTTAATTTTAACCAAGGAGTATATGAAAATCTATGTTTGGATTATCTTTCAACTTTGTATTATTTCCATGTACTGTCACCCCAACAATATGAATAAACTCCATAAGGATTAATTAATGCAATAGCATCATCCAAAGATTTCTTTGCTTATCTACAACTTGCTGAATTTGGCTATAAAGCACAATTGTGATTCAAAATAAACTAATTAGTATAATCAATAAATGATCTTCTAGCTAAGAACTTTAGTGAAGTTTAACTTCTAAATTTCTCATTATTGATCAATACACCATTTCCAATTAATACTCCCTTAAATTATATTTTTTCCTTTTAATCTACTGTTTTCTCTCCTTCTAATAATGCTTTTGCTGTATATGGTATATACATTCCTAATATTTAATAACTTTGATACCTGCATATGATTCTCCAGCAATATAGAAATCTCTACCTCTATAATATGTGAATGTATCAAACCATTATCTGATAGCCTCATAGTTAAATCTTCCAGTCTTCTCATCTGTAAATTTATAGTTTTTATCTGGGGCTGGTTAAGAAAATCCAACTCCAAATGGAGATTCCAATATTAATAAATGAGCATTCATATTCCAAGACCATGGATTTTATTAGTATTCAGTTTCTCCATTATCAATAATAAATGGACCGATTTCTTACATCAAACCCAACAATGATGAACATCCTGGACCACCATTTAGCCAAAGTATAACTGGTTAAGTTGCTACTTCTGCATCTTCTGTTTGGCTCTCTACAAATACATAATGCAAATTTCTAATGTAGAATCTATATAAACCTTTTAACTCCATCGTCATCTAGCTCAATCAATCCTGACCAAGTCTTGAATCTATATACTGGCCAATCTGGCCATTTAAATTCATCAGCCACAAAGTCTATACATGAGACTGATAGCAGTAATGTAGCGAGCATCACACATTTCATCATTAATTTGTAATTATTTATTAAATTATGTAGATTTCCCGATTTCTTATTTAAATAATAGGTACAATTTTGAATGCATATTGATTATTGTACTCAATAATGTTTTAAATAGATAATTTATAACACATAAGATATTGATATAATTATAACCATTAGAGGATTATTTATAAAAAATTATACATTATATTTTAATAGCTAATATAATTCATATAAGAATATATATATATTTTAAAGTTATTCTGATTATCTTCAATATTATAATATAATTTTAAAGTGTTTCTAATTTATTATATATAATAAAATGAGAATATGAATATGTATATCAAGAAATTATTAAAAATGAATAAAATAAATTTAATTTAATATGTAGTAAATTAGTAAAGAGAAAGAAAATCAAATTTAATAAGCTATGGATTTAGAAAAAGATGTAATTAGCACATTAGGCAAAGTTAGATAATATGAAGCATCAATAAATTCACTTAAAAGGAACATTTAAAAATGCAATATAACTTTAAAAGAATTAAGTAGTATTGATTAATAGAAAACATATCTTCCTGTTGGAAAATGGTAATAAATTTTATATTTAGTTTATAGTTTTATTTTGAAACCAAAGGCAGATATTGTGAATGAAGTTAATGAAAATATCATATTTCATGAGAAAGATATCAATGAATATGAAAAAGTTAGATAACATTTAGTTACAAAAGGAAAAGAGAAAGAATGTTAATTGTAAGAAGCAATGAAATCATTAAAAATTTGAAATTTTAATATATTTTATGTTTTAAGATAATATATGGGAATGTGTTTAATAAAATGGTATGCCAACTCCAAAAAGTGGACATTGTTGTTGTGTAGTGGCAAATAACTTTTATGTATTTGGTGGATAATCAAATACTGAAATATTGAATGAATTTCATAGATTTAATCTAGAAGATAAAACTTGGAGTAAATTAAAGAGTGATTCATAACCAAATGGAAGAAGTTCAGCAGGAATGTGTGGTGTTGATGATATTAAAAAGATTTATTTATTTGGTGGTACCTTATTGATAGTTGAGAAAACAAGTAAGAAGTATATTTATAATTTTTATTCATTTAGTGATCTCTATGAATATGATATTCAAAAAAATAATTGGAGTATTTTAATGACTTAAACACCAGGACCTTTTGAAAGATATGGTCATTCTATGATAATATCAAATTAGTAATTATAATATTCTATTGTTTAGTTAGATATATATATTTGGTGGTGTTCATTATGTAAAAGCATAAAATAGAATGAATCCTGAATTTTTAAATGATTTATGGGTGTTTTCTTTGATTGATAAAATTTGGAAGAAACTTGATGTATTATCAAATTGATTACCAAGCTTAGGGCATAAATTTAACCATAAGCTAGATACAGACATACAACTGCTATAATAGGAAATGAATTGTATATAATTGGTGGTACTACAAATTAAAATCGTTATGGATAAATAGTAAAAACTGATTTTACTAATATGTAATGGTAATACTTAGAATTAGAGGCTCTAAAAAACAAATCAAAAAAAAATTTATTTAAAGGTAGATTTGGACATGCTTGTTTTGTAATTGAAAACATGGTTTATATTTATAGTGGTATGGATGATGGATTATGTGATGATGCATTATAATTAGATGTGATATAAAATAAATGGAAGAGTAAAAAGTTTAGAGGGAATATACCAACACGTGAATTTTTTAGTTTTGCTTAGACATCAAATTAATTATTTATATATGGAGGTAGAACTTAATAAAATTAAAGATTAAATGATTTATATGTATGGAATCACAATTTAAGATAAGAGGAATAGCAATATTGTACATTAAGATAAGAGATAGTAATAATTATATTATATTTAAAGTATTCTTTATTAGAAATGAATTAAAATTGTAGTGATTTGACAATTTATACTAAAAGTAGTACATAATATGTATTACATAAAAGTTTTATATAAGTTAGATGTCCAATATTATTATAATTTCAAAATCTATAATTTTCAGATATTCTAATTTAAATTTTAATAAAATATATATATAAAGCTGAATTAGCTTTAGATTTACTTAGTAAAGTTGAAATTAGAGAGGCTTTATAATTTAGTGCTTTCATTTAAGATGATTTATTTGCAACAGCTATTATTTAATATTTTCTGATTGATTGTAGAGGTCAAAGTGATTATGATTTTATTGAAAAAGAATTGTAACAGATTTAAAATAAAGGTAATTCTAGTGGATAGATAAATTTTCTATTGAAAAGTGTATTGTAAATATTGGATTATAGAAAATAAAAATAATTTGTCAATTTATTTTAACAACAAAGAATTATATTTAATAATATTACAAATTAAATAATAATGAAATTTTATTAAGATATGAGAAAATTATAATATCATTCTGAAACTGATACAGTAATTACTGCATAGGATAAATAAATAAATGTACATTCATTTATATTAGTTGCAAGATCAGAATATTTTAGAGAAATGATAAATTTTGAGAATGGAGTAATTTAACAAATTTAAGTTGATTTTGATCCATAGATTTTATAAAATATTATCAATTATTTATATTGTGGATATTAAGCATTGTAAAGATAAAATGAAGGTAATTTTGATCATTTAATAAATGCATATAAAGCATCAAATTATTTTATGTTGAATAACTAAACATTTTTATATTTGATATAAGAAGGAATGGCAGAATTTATAAATAAAGATAATGTATATGATTTAGCTGAATTAGCTGAATAATTGAATGCAACATATTTACTTTATGAATGTTGTACCTATATATCTGAAAACTTAAAAGGAGTATCATTATCAGATTTGAGAAAACTATCAAAAGAAGTATTAATTCGTGTTCTTGAAGTAATTGGATAGAAATAATGAATATATAATTAACATTATCAAAATTTTAAGTTTCAGTATAAAGTGGGTTTCTACATTTCTTTATGGTACTAGATAAATATTAATTAATACAAAAAAGTCTGCAGTTTTTCTAGGTATTAGATTACCATCCTTTCTAATTTATAAAACAGTAGTTTTATTTTGCATTAAAGATTTAAGATTATTGTATAATTAAACTGCTTCTTCAATCTAAGCTTCAACACATTTATTTTTAGAAAAACTTATCTAACTATTGTATGATTCTTTATGCTAATGAAACTAATTTAATAAATAAATTTACATAGGAACTACTATTATTTTTAGTTGAATTGCATTCTACAGGGATTGAATTAAATTGTACTTTCAAAATAGATTTAACAGGTGTACTTTATTTTTTTTCATAAGTAGTAGGAGTATCTTATTTAGATTAACTTCTATTAATTTAGATAATAGGTTTTGGTATCTTTCTTTCACTTTATACAATTTTATTGGAAACATCTTTATTTTCAGATTCTATTGTATTTGTCTTATTAATTGATTAATTTATTTTCTTTTCAGATGCACTTCTTAACTATAAAAAATTATATTATGTTTTAGGTGGTTGTGGTAATTTCTTTAAACTTGAACTTCTTATAACACCTTTGAAACATTCAGCTTTTTTAGTGTAAGAGGCATCAGAAATTCGAGATTCTTTACTTGATGGTCTTTATCTTAATTCAAAATATGCTTTTGATTATTATTATTATGATGAACTAGGTCTTGAATTTATTTTAGTAATAGATTCTTTAAGATTTCTTGGTTGTTAAGATAATTAAGATTTATTTAATAATTTCTCATTTTTAAAATCTTTAGTTTCTCTAGTTAATCTTTAAATTTCTAAATCCAAATTACCTATATCTCTAAGCAACATTTTTTTAATACTAGGCTTTTGTGTTTTATCAATTAAAGGAGATTATTCAATAGGAATAGGTTCCACAGGTTATTAGACTTCATAATCAATTTCTTATTCTGGAGGTGGAGTTGGATTTCGCATTGGTAATTCTTCTTTAACAAACTATAATTTTTTAGATGGCTTTTTAGATGGTTAAGATTATTGTTTTTTAGTAGGATTAAAAACAATGAATTCTTATTGATTTATTTATTGTTATTAAGATTTGGATTACTTTTTATTCTTTTAACCATTTGCATTTTGGTATTGTTCTTACAAATTGCCCAATAACTATTATTTTCTTAAGTAAATAAGGATGTGTACCTTAATTCAAATTGAGCTGCAGCTTCTTCTTCACTTAATTTACTATATCTACCTTATTCTGCCATTCAGTTAAATAAATTAATAAGTATATTGAGAGTGAATTAATTACAATCCGTTTTTATTATAATAAAAAAATGGTCAAACAATGCTATCTATTCATCACCTTATTAGTGATTGTCCATAGTCTGAATTATGGAACTATTCTGATTTAAAATGATGGAAGAGGACAAATTCAATCAAAAGTAATTCATATGATAAATCTAAGGAAATTCTATTCTCAAAACCATTCTAACACATACCATAAGTTGCTATAGCACTTCTTAATGGTCATGGAGACATATTTGCAGAAATTCATGAGGTTAATCAAGAAGGTATTTAATTATCTATTTCAATTAAGGATTCACATTACAAATGATGGCATCTGAAGAGATTGAAGCAGAATATGCCTATTTAGCAATTGAAAATGATGAGAATTATCAAATTGAATGTTTTAATCGTATTGCTGTTGGAAATGAGATTTAAATTCCTTTAATTATATAGAAACCAACATTTATTGGTGTTCTAGCTACCAATACACATGCAAACAATTTCAATATTGGTAATTATTGATATAATTGGAAAAGATTTACTTGATGGAAATCTAATTGTTAATAATGATGGATAATTAAATATGTGTATAATTATCACAAATGATGAACAACCTATAGATTTGATTGGTTATTAAAACTATCAAGAATAAGAAACTGCTGAATTTCATCCATTTAAAAAATAGAATGCCATGTAACTTATTAAATATTAATTCAGCTTAGGAGCTTAGTATAAGCACAACAATCCCTTGAAATCACACATCTAGATTAGCATAACTCTTTTGAAATTTGGCATCATCAATCTATTGAATTAGTTAAGGATTCCTCAATTGAAGTATATCCAACTCATAGATCTTTGGAAATTGTGAGTGAAGATTAACCTAATCAATAATCATAATTTAAATAAGAAGAATCTTTAGAAATATTTAAATTAGATAATAAAGACTAACAATCAATATCTGATTAAAAATTAATTGTTGAAGACATCCATCTAGACAATCTTAATGATAATCCTTAATCTAATAATAATCAAATAGAAAATATTAAATTAGATGATGAATCAATGGTTACTTAACAGTAAACAACTGTAGCTGTATCCAATTAATCAGAAGATATTAAATTAGATCTTGAATCTACATAAGAAAATGAATAATCTGAGACTATTACATTTGATGATTAATAATAATAAGTTGAATAATCATAATAATAATAAAAGCTTGAAGATGTAAAATTAGAACCTGAAAATACTATAAATAATTAAGATTCATAATAAATTAATTTGACTAATGAAGAAGATGTTCAAATTCTACAACCTGAAAAAGATACAATAATAAACTCATAAGAATAATAAAATACTACTATTATTCAATAAACTGATAAAGTATAAATAGATCAATCAAATTAAGATGGCAATGTTTAAAATTTACAATCTGATGTTACAACAAATAATAATGATTAAGTACTCTAATAAGAAGATGTAATCTTTGATAATTAAGATACTTTAAAGGAGGAATCAAAATAAGAGATTTAAATTGAAGATATTAAATTAGATAATACTGATATATCTTCAATTAATGTTAATGATATTCCACAATAATAATAAGCCAAAGAAATTAAAAATGATTAATTATCTGTCTAATCTGATGTGAAACCAATTGAATAGACTACTATTACTGAAGATGTTGTTATTCATGCAGATGAAGTCAAAATAGAAAATGTGAAGATTTCTGAATCAAATTTGGATGATATAAGTACAGAATAATAAGTTTAAGAGAATAATACAGAATAAAAGATATAAGAAGATAATAATGATTAAGTTTAAGAAGCTATTCAAGAGAATAAATAAATCATAGGATAATCTGATGATGTTTCTGTTGATCCAGATGCTTTCTCAGAACCATAGTAAAGAGTAACTTAAATTAAAAATGATGATGATTTACAGAAATAAGAATCAGACATCGATGATATGATTAAGGTTGCATAGGAATTAAAAGAAGAAGCTTAACAATTAAAAAATAAAAATAGAAGTGAATAATAATAAGAAAAATTAGATAAGGAAGTAAGTTAACTTGAAGATGAAATACAAGTACCTAAAGTTGTAGAAGATTAAATAAGTTTGGATGTTAATTCTGCTTATGAGGATTAAAAAGAAATATAAATTGAATAACCTAAAGAAGAATAACAACCACCAATCATATATTTAAATGATAGTGGAGTAAATCCTGAATAATAATTAATAACATAAGAGATCAAAGATGATGATAAATTAATGATCACTCAAAACTAATTATAAGAAGAAGTTGATAAAGAATTATAAACATAAGAACAATAAGTTGATAAATAAGTTGAAAGCACATCATAAATTGGAGAAGAAGATATCTAAATTGTTGATGCTTCTATTAAATTAGATGAAGATCATTAAGAAATGGAAATATTTGAATCTGGTCAAGTTGAACTCATTCCTGATTAAGTTTAACATTAAGTTGATGAAGTCTAATAAATTGAATAATCTTAAGTTGATGTAGAACCATAAGAGGATTATGTATAAGAATAAGAAACAAAAAAAGAAGAAGGTGCTATAGAAATTGGGTTGACAAAAGATGAAGGAGAAGCATTTATTAGAAAATCTAAGAAGTCTGATTTCTTAAGAGAGAAACAAAATTTAAAGGATAAATTAAGTAATGTAGTTAGAGATTTTAATTTGGATTCTGTTTAAGATAATTCTTTAGATTCTGTAGTTGAAGATGATAAATAATATTCTTTAATTATTGATAGATTAGATGTACCAGAAAATAATGAATAAGTTATTGTTTTGAAAGATGAGGATTATGAATAAAATGAAAATGAACCAGAATCTAAATAAGAAGTCAAATAACTTGGTGATTATTTGGAAGCAGTAGATTAAAATATTGAAAATGTTAATTTTATCTATGATGATGAATAAAAATAGGAATAATAAACAGTTTAAATTGAGGATGTAAAATTAAATGATGATATTAATACAGATGAAGAAACTAATTATTAAGTTGTTGAAGCTAAAGATGATGAACTTGTTGATACTACATTAGAATCTATAGATGATTAATAATAATATTAATTATTATCATCTGATGTTGCTGTTTCTGTTGAAGATACATCTACTTCAAATGTAGAAAATTAGATTGAAGATGAAATTATATCTTTTGATGAATTCCAAAAAGAACTTGAAGTCTTAGCTAATACTATTGGTAATATTAAATAAGAAAATATTGAAAATCAATAATCTAGTGATTTTATTATTGTTAATGACAATAGTTAGATATATGAAGTCCCTTATGATGTATAAAGTAATGAATTACCACTTGAAGATGAACCTTAAATTCAAGAAGATTAAAAAGAATATTATTAAGGATTTGAAGATGATCAAAATACTTAAATTGAGTAACAAACAAATTAAGAATAATAATAAACATAAGAAGTTGAATAAACATTTGATATTCCAGAATAAGATGTTGAAGATTAATCATTTTAAAATGAATAAGAATAATTAGAAGATCAAACTTAATAAGTAGAAAGTTATGATGATGCTGAACCTCAAGATTAATATTTAACTATTGATAATCTTGTTAAGGATAATTCATCTCTTGGCTAATCTTATGAATAGGCACCATAATATTATGATGAATCCAATAATGAATAACCAGAATAATATACTTAGGATTAAGTTGAAAGCACTTTAGAATCTGATTATGATATTTCTGAATAATAATAATAATAAAATTAAGAGATATAAGAGTAATATTAGAATGATTAATAAGAATAAGATTTTATTGTTATGAAGGCAGATTAATTTATGCCATAATTTTAAGATGAATCTTAGTAATAAGAGTAATTATCTGATAACTAAAAAGAACAAGACATATATTCAGAAACTCCTAAGGATGAAAATGAAATAGATATTATAGTAGATGTAGGAAATTTATAAAATGATTAACCTTAATTAAATGAATAAGATTATGATTTTGGAGACAATTTTGAAAAATAATAAACAACACAAAATTAAGTTTAAGAATCATCATAGAAATAATAACCTTAATAATAATAAGAACAACCTTAATAATAATTATAATCAGGTTCTATATCTAATAAGAAACATAAATAAAAAATTTAACATTCTATTACTATTTCTCATAATCCTTAATAAGGTAATTTAAAATAGGCTGACAGATCTATTGAAATATAGCATGAAGATTAATCTCTAAAAATTGAACATTAAGTCAGCTAAGAAGAATTAAAGAAAGATTTAAAGGAATAATTAAAATAAGAACTTAAAGAAGAATTAAAATAGGAAATAAAGTAAGAAATCTAAGAATCCCATAATCGAAGAAAATCTTCAAGTCTTGTGATTGAAGATAATGTGAATAAAGATCCAGAACGACCTGCTTAGAAAGCCATAAATAATTTTAATAATTTATTGAATGATGTTGTAGGTGAGACATTAAAAGAAGAAGATAGAAAACATTATTAAAAATTACCTATAGTTGATGTTAAGAGAGATACTTTTAATAAAGTAGAACCAAAGATTGAATAAGGAATTGAAGACTTAAAAAAAGCATTAGGATTAAAAGGAGGAGTAGAAGTTGTTGATAATAATGGTAAGAAATAAGTTATTAATGTTGATGATCTTAAAAAAGAAAGTGAGAAATTTTAGACTCGCCCAGAAAGAGATAATAAAAAGGATAGTCCTTAATATGAAGAATATTTGAAAAAAGTTACTGAGAAATCTCAAAAAAATAATAATGATGAACTAAATAATTATTAAGAGTAACATAATATTAGAAAATAAGAAATTTTAGAGAATATAAAGAGGGAATTAGAAATAAAGAAAGGTCACTTTACATTACCAAATGATTCTCCTCAAGGTACTTTTATTAATGTATGATTTAAAAGAATTATCACCTTATGAATTTGAGAGAGTTTATATGGATTGGGAAAAGAATAAATAAGATATTATTCCAAGTATGCTTTAACATTCAATTGAATAACCTAGTATTTAAGATATTAATTCAAATTCTGATTAAGTAAAAAAAAGTAGTAGTTTAAATATTTAGAGAAGCGATTTAAATATTTAAAAAAATGATTATTAAATTAATAATTTCTAAGAGAATATTTCAACGCCAAATATATAATAGAAATCCACAGAAAGAATCTCAAGAAAAGAAGAAGTAGATAAAGAAGTTTAAGAATTACTTTATGGAAACTAAAAGAATAAGAAATAATAATAATTAAAATAATCTTAAAAAGGTATATTAAATTATTATAAATTTAAAGAGTTTAAAGTAGAAGATTTGAAATATACAAAGGATGATCCACTTTTAGACTCTACTTATAGTGGATTTGTATAAGTAAAAGCAAATTTAAGAAAGAGATCACATTGATTAATATAAGTTTATAAATTAACAGATAATAAAATGGAAAGAAAAAAAATTCATTACTTCTTGGGTAAATCCCACTTCTTTCTTTAAGTAACAGGATAATTATTATTAGTTATTTCTGGATTTTTTATTTTTTCTTATAAAAATTATATCAGGTCGAAGTGCTATTCATTTCGTATTTTTGCAAATTCTTCAAGTAAATCATATAAGGATATATTTTTGAGTGTTTATGTTACATTTTATTTCTTTTAGCCTCTAAATTTGGTAACAGATGAAGGAACTGGAATTCTTCTTCTACAATGAGGACATTATTGATTCATATAAGAAAATAAATTAATTTCATTGTTTAATTGTTTCTTTAATTGATTATTCAAGTCCTTATGTCACATATGTCAATTTAACATTAGGTGGTAATTACACACAATAAATAGTAACTGCAATCATATTAGGATTAAATCTTGGATAAAAAAAGGATTGCACTCCACAAGTTTTACAAAAGTAATGTTTTGCCTTATATTATAGAATTGAGTAACTGATACTTGTTTGGTATTGAATGTATATAAACTAAGTTCTTCCATACTTGTAAGCAACTTAAATTTGGAATCAAGAATCAAAACATGATGATTTTACTTCATTTTGCAAATTGAACAATGACATCTGATTACTTCCATCTCAAGAGGTCCTGAAAATTGAAATTGCACTTTTTAGCAATGACAACTTCCTGAATATTAATATTCCATTTTCTTATTTTATTATATATGTAATCAGTGAGCTAAATTTCTAAATCTGATCCAACTCGTTATGGTGATTCATTTAAACCTACTGCTAAGAAAATGACTCATCGTTTGCTTTCTCATTGTGATAGTGAAATGACTCTTAAGAAAATAGACTTTACTTTAGCTGGGAGTGGTAAACATATCCCAGATTATAATATTAAATCAACTTAAGTAGAAACAAAATAAATAGAACCATTCAAAATCAAGGATTTTATACCATTGATAAATCCAACTATTAAAGGTGAATTGAGTCGTCTAAATAAGAATAGCTTTTTAGATTTTCTTTTAATTTAAAAAGCTGGAAAAGTAAATATGATTAATTCATTATTGTTAGTCAGGAGATCAGAAGTTTTTTGATTAATTGATTTAACAATACAACTTTGATCCATTCAAAAAAACTTTAAAGATGCAAGACAATAAATAATAATAAATTCAATATCTTCAAAAACGAGATGAAAGAGAAGAGTAAATTGCATTACAAGTTAAGCAATTTTATAAACATATGTAACACAAAAGAAGTGGCACAATGAATGATTAGCCATTAGACCGTATGATCATAGAAAAAAATAATTATTTGATCCAAAAACTACCACGCTTTAGAGCTAAATTAGAGGCTTTGTAAGGAAAAAATGATTATATATGATCAAATTATAGTAGAAGTAGTGTACTTATGAGTTGGGATGTAACCATGGTTTCGACGAATAATTTTTTCGATTTCAAATATTACATGTATATCAGTGTTTCGAACCTTAGGTTTTGTATGATGGGGTTTCATTTTGATTAATGAGAGTTATGGCAAAAAATGTTTCTCATTTGGAGATTCCTTAATTTTTATGAATTTGTTGATATATTGTTATTTCACTACTTGTCTTGGTGATAAACTATTCAATTTTAACTTAGGTAATTCACTTTTCTTTGCTGTTAATATCTAATGTATTGTTTGATGAGTTTCTTTTATTTCTGTCTTTTCTTTATGTAATGGTACTGTCATTTAACTATGATATCGTGAACGAGGTCTATAATCATCACTGCCCCAAGGACCTAAGTCTTCATCATAATACATTTAATTATCAAATTATTAATATTTATACATGTAAATTTTATTTATTTCTTTTGTCAATATTTTGACTATTTTTATCATTTAATTTAATAGAAACTAGATAAAAGAATTTATATTAACTTCATTTTAGATGAAAATAATATTAATTATTGAGTGAATAAATATTATTATATAATAGAAATTTAATAGATTGAAACAATATTTAATATATACATAATATCTTTTATTGAAGATTTTTATTTGTATTATTTAATTAAAAAAGTCAATTTAATTATTCTTTTCTTATCATAATAAATTTATTTATTATTTTAATTCTACGAAATCTTTGTATAAATATCAATTTTAAGAATTAAGGATATATAATATATAAATCTATTAGAATGAAATAAATTCCATTTGATTTATTTCTATTAAATTTATAAATTTTCTAATTTTGAAATATTTTTTAGATATAATCTATTTTGATTTTGTTAACTAAGATGAATATCATAATATTTTGTTTATATTATCAATATATAGAGTTAGTAATATATATTTTTTAATAAGAATTTTGGTATAATTAGTGAAATCTCTCAATTTACATTATTTAAAAATATTTACATAAATTTAATATTTATATAACAGCAATATATTTTGAATAATGATAAGTTTAGATGAGATGGAGTCACTTGCTAATTCATTTCGCAAAAAACCAAAGAAAAATTCATCTTTGTAAATACAAACAGATGAAACAATGGCAATGTTAGAAATATTAGAATCAGATATGAATAAATTTAGAATTGAAAATTTAAGGCTTTAATAATAGATAAAGTAATTATAAGAGAGTTTAGTTCATTGTTCTGTCAATGTTACCAATACATCTTCTAAATTTATGTTACCTAGTGAATTTAAATTAAAATATGAAAATATGGTCAAAGAAACACTTCCATCAGCATTTGGTTTTCTTTTTGATTAACCAAAAGTGCTAGTTTAAGTTGTTTAATAGAGTTGTCTCTTTTTAGAATAAGTAATTAGAGAAGAACTAAATAATAAGACTTCACAAGTTGCTTCAATATTAGGAATAAATTGTTAAGGATTATTCAGTCTTTTATAAAAATTATATCAAGATAATTTCTAAAGTGTTTTGGGATTCAATGATACAACAATAAACAAATTAAAATCACATTTGAAATTGAATATCAAAAATATAGATGAATTTATAGAGGAAGACAATGATGATTTGATTGAATGGATGAAATAATATTGGCTATTATTATCATATATAATTCTTAGTGATTAAGAGATTAATATAGGTTTTAGTAGAGTGATCTATGAAATAGTATCATATCAAAAGAATGAATATTATTGTGTAGATGGTTTTGGTAAAGAAGGTGCTAAAAGTTTGGTGATTCTTCCACCTATTATGAGAAAAAATCAATCATTTAATGGTGTCAAACATGCTGTATTAATATTACCTAGTAATTTTGATTGTTCAATATTTAATTAAGATAATAATTTATAAGATACAATTTAAGAATTGAAATCTTATAATTCACCTAAATAATTAACTATTCCTTAAGAATTAAAGGTTATTGAAGAGACTAAGAGAAGTAGTTTATAATATAGTGCAAGAGAGAATACCTTTTAAAGTCAGGGATCTGAAAAATTTGATACTTTTGAGGAATGCAGAATTAAACCATAACAAAAATAACCATTAAAATCAATGAAGGAAACTCTTAATAAATTAAATTAATATAATAATAGTAGTAATAATTAATCATTTAAAGAAATTTCTAAATTACTTAAATAAGATTCTAAAGACAATAAAAGATTTAAGTAAATTATTACTCATATTTAGTTAGTTAAACTATATTTAAAATAAGATTAGCGATAATAATTGGAGTAGAATTCTAGCTAATAAAAGAAATAAAGAGAATAATTAACATCTCAATCAATCTTAATAATAAACACCTTAATTAACAATATAATAATTTATAAAGAAGATTAAGATAGATTTCTCTCGTCCTTTGAAAAGTCGTCATGAAGAATCAAAATTCATTAAATCACAATAAGATAGTTTCAGATAGAGAGCGTAGTCGAATGATGGAAAATTTGTTAAATATTATAATGATTCCTTTAATTAGAAATTTAATAATTGATTTACTATTATAAATTAATTATAACAGCTAAATGAATAGACCCAATAGTCAAACTAATGAGTACTTTAATTTAATTGAAAAATGCATATGTACAATGTGTCTTTCTATCTTAAGAAATTCCCAAAGATGATCGACTCTATCTTAGATAATGTGCATATTAAAACAATCCAGATATTATATCAATCATATTTTAATATAAAAAGAATAATGGTATAAATTTTTAATCTATAGAGATTAAAGAAGATTGTATATGAATTTACGCAAATTTTTATAACAAAATAAATAGAATCGTATTCTCTAAAAGAAATAATAGTAATAATCAAAAGAAAATTTGAGAAATACATCTCCTTAAGCAAAAAGCAAATAATAGTCTAGATAAAATAGTATTAGAAATAACAATCCAAGATCATTGAGCAAATAATTATAATGTATTCATCCATCTGATAAATAATAACATTTGATAATGTATATTAAAATTAAGAAATTAGGACTACTCCACATAAATAATAATAAGATAGATTATCTTAAAATAAAAAATTTCACACTAATAGTGGAGGAGGATTCTTTCAAGAAGTTTAAAAATTTGATGAAACCATAAAGAAATCATAAAATTAAAAAAAGTGGACTGAAGAAGAAATTGTAAGAAAATATGCTGATTTGTTCACTGCACCTGATTTTCTTAAAAAACATAGAGCAATATCTTAAGACACAGATCCAGATAGTAAAGATTTTAATTTTGCAATTACTTGTCAGAGTTTCATTTGTTAACCTAAATATTATGCTATGTAAAAATTTAGTGCAGAATAAATATTTGGATTTATTTTTACTGAAGCTTCCTTAGATAAAATAAGCAAGACTTTCTTTTAATATAAAATGGAAGCATTTTATAATGAAATCGATGCTGAAATACCAGATTTACAAGAAATGTTTATTTTTATAGATAAAAAAAATGATGGTTTTATTGATGTTAATGAAATGGGATAATTTTTAGATTTTGTTTGTTAAAAAGAGGATAGAACAAATTTCATGAAATTAGATTCAAATAACTAAGGATATTTTACAGAACACTAAATGCTTTAATAAACAAGAGATAGATAATTAACAAGAAAGTAAATAATTTAATATTATCAAAATAGTTATTTTTAAGTATATGATATTGAATAGACAGGAAAGATTACTTTTTGGGAATATTAATTAAGGTATTTATTTTTAATTTAAAAGAAAAACTACGTAACTTGGATAAAATTTAAATAAATTATTAAAATGAAATTATATAATATTAATTTTTCCGCAATTTTTTATTTTTAAATGTGTTTAGAAGAAGTATAGGATGATAAGGGATTGGAGAAATTTTTAAAAATGGCTACTAAATAGTAAGTCAATCTAATAAATCTAGCTATGAAACTAAATATGGAACCCCATAAAAAAATTTGAGGGAAAAGGCTATGACTTTATGGCTTGATTTACCATCTTTTAAAGACAAAATGATAGTAATGGAATTTATGTAAAGGAAAATCAATAGAATTGAATCTTCATAAACTAAAATCACTTAGTTTTTTAAATCTCACTCAAAACCATCAGCAACTAAAATTTAGAAATAAATTGATGTAGGAGATGATTAAGAAATTACAGGTCCATTAATAGGTGATAACACTCCTTTGAAAAGAGATAGATCTCCATATAGCAAATTTTATGAAGAAACATATTGGAAACTAAAATTAGAGTACGAATTCTTGAATTAGAAAGAGATCAGATAAATGGTTAAAAAATAATGGGAAAGTAATAGAAAAATAATTTAAAATATATGATTTATTTAGTTATGTATTACTTAAAAAGTAAAATCTTTATTTTTTCTATTTTACTAACATATATATGTATATTAATAATATAATTTATTATAAAAATCGTTAAGATGTTAAAGAGAAACTCCCATCGTTAATCAGACAATTAGTTAAGATATTCTTCATTGACTAAAAATGATGAATCAGAGTTTAATCTAGGAAAATTTCGAGAGAGTGTTTATTCAAAGATGTAGCAATTAGGCAATCAAGAATAATAGTCTTATGTAAAGGGCACTGTTTCAAAAACTGTTAAATCCTCTTAAGTTTAAGAAATGAGAGGAAGGTATAAGAAAAGATTAAGTTTAGTATTCCATCATTTGAAGACATTTTTAAAAAGATGTCCTCATATAAAGATAATTCATATAATATATTGAAACATGATGGATCTTTAAGATCTAGTATTTAATGTAAAATTGAACAATTTGCAGAACCACCATAGAGTAGATTATCCTAAAGATCAGTTGGAATGACTTTACACATTTCAAATAGATTTGCCTCTCAAACTAAATTGGATACTAAATAGCAATCAATAGGGAGATACACTTCAAGTTTTATAGAAAAGCCTGTAATTGCTTAACCGCTGAAAACAAGTCTAATTGATAAATTACCATTAAAAGAACTCTCTGATATAAGAAATAGAATTGAAGGGAGTACATAGAGTGAAGTATAATAGTTGTCTAAGAATTATGTGTCTGAATTGGTGAAATTGGCACAAATCATAAATAAATAAGTGAGAAGATGCAAATTATGATATTATTAATATGTTATAATCTCATGATAATGGAACCACAAATCAAGAGTATAAAAGAGTAGTAGAGAAATGCTCAAGATATTTGAATGAAAGATCTAAATTAAAACATCAATCTAATGATAAGTTATGTGCAGCAGTACGTAAGATTTATCTGAATCCTCTTCTTCCTTTATTATAATCTGATCATGAATAATCTACTTATCGAATGAGAAGACGTTAATCTTCCTTATTAAAAGATCAATATTTGCATTTTAAGTAAGAATCTATTGAAAAAATAAATGGTAACATCTAATAATAAATTGTGAATCAAAATTCATACTCAGTACCAAAAAAACAATAACATTAATCATAAGCCAATCTTGAAACATCACAATAATAAAGATTTTTTATTGGTTTATATAAAAATTAGAGGATTGAAAATTAGAGCTAAAATATCACTATTAAAGATTTAGTATAATTACACAAATATTCATCAGGATAATAATAAAATATAACTCATTTGCCTTAATTGTAATAGCCATCAAATGAAATTAATTTAAGTAAATATTTTGTTAAAAAAGCAAAACCTAAAAAGATTTCTTTTGATGATATCTCTTTTACTAAAAAATGTGAAAAAGAAAGAGGAAACATTATAGTGAGGATTGATAAAATGTAAGTAGATGAATTTTCAGAAAAAGTAATAGAATATCTCTTAATGTAAGATATAATGAGATTATTCTTTCAAAATTCTAGTGTTATATAATTGAAAGTAATAATGCTTGAACTTTTTAAAGGAGTTTATTATGAATTTTCACTAAATTTTGAACAAATTATAGCATTTTTTACAACATAACAAATAACATATTTGGAAATATTTTATATTAAGTATTCAATCTCTTAAGTCTTGTTAAATGCTAATTACAATTTTAATTTTGTAGAAAGAGCTCTCAATTAATTTGAAGAATATCGTTATCTATTATAAAAACCCATTCCTTTTATTACTAAATTATTTGATAATATTTTTTATTCCAATGTTGTAATAGGAGTTATGATGAAATTATTAAAAAGTCCAGCTTACAAAAAGTTTTTGACTAATAAAAGTTTGAAAGTGAATAATTTATAAATTCAGTTAAGAATGGATTATTTCCTTATTTAGTTGGGGAATTTGTGGGATTGCCTCTGCATGCTAGAATTAAAGATGTCAAAGCTGAATTATTCAAATAATCAATCTTATAGCCTTATATTAATTAAGTTCTTGTAATTAAAGTAAGGAATCTATTAAATGAATATTATCTTGATGAATTATATATCAAAGATGTGTAAAGGAGATTACAATTTCCAAAAGAAGGATAAGTTCTTCCAGAAGAAACAAATATTCTTCTTTATTATATTTAATCCTATATACAATAAACAGATAATTGAAATAATAATTGAATTATTATTAAAAATTATTATTTGTACAATGTAAGAACACTCTTATACCATCAATTGATATCAAAGCAATGATAAATATTAAAAATATTAATCCAATATAAATGGATTAAGATTAAAATTTATTTGAAGATAATATCAAATTTTTGGAGTAATTTGAACAAATGAAAGAAGAATTGTAAGTATTTAAATGATAATCAATTTATAATTTCTTTTTAATATTATTCTACAGTTTTGATAAACTTCTTATATTAAGTATTATCTAAATTAGAGATACCTTCATAATTGAATCCGCATCGTAAAGCTACATTAGCACTTTTTATATTTTCTACTAGACAATGTATAATCAGAAGATCTAATCCAAGAACTTCAAAGGCATGTTTTTAGAGTTGTTAGCAAGCTCTTGTAACAATCCCTTTTCCTTAAAATTATTCATCTATCCAATAGAAAATCTTTATTTAATAAATATACTATACTTCAGCTTAACATGTGAAATTTTCAATACAGAAAGAATGTAATCCAATTTAACCACAAGGTTTATCTTCATGGCATATGGTAAATCTTTTGAGTTCAATATTTTAGAAATCACCATAGATTCTGAGAAGATAAAGAAAATAATCATTTGTATTTTTTATGTTAGGATAGCCTTCTCCAAAGCTTTCTAAATAGGCTTCGTTTTTTTGAATCATTTTGTAATCTAATGGTATTCTGTTTTCAGTTAATGGCACTAGAGTTGTTGATGCCTTCATTTAAATTAGTGTAAAAAAACTATGTGAAAGATTAATAATAAATAAAGATTAAGTTTAATTTATAATTAAAAAGTAGTTAAAATTGAATGGCAAGTGAAAGAATTCATAAGTATGAGGAATCAAAAGGTGCAATATAATAAATTGATTAAGTAGATTTTATTTAGAAATGCAAACAAAAGAATTGTTTTTCGAATAGTTATGGGAGTCCATTTTGTTTAGTTAAAAAATTTAATGATCATAATATTTTGAAGGAGAGTTATAATAAGATGAATGTACGTGGAGATGATAAATGTAGTTTAAATGATCGTCTTTAGAAATATAGATCTTAAGCTCAAATGACATTAGATAAATTGGAGACTGGTGAATGATATATAATTAATTTTAGGTAGATTACAAATATTAGAAGCAATTATTAATACGATAGATGTAATAGAAATGTTAAGAAGAGGAAGAGTAAATGTAGAATAGAATTTAAGTGCGAATGAAGAAAGCTTAACAATAGTGATTATTTATTATATATTTTAATGGATCAAATTGAGCATAGAATATAATAATTAAACCCTGATTCCTAAAGTGTGAAGGAAATAATAGATATCTTAACACAATATCATTAAATAACAACAGTATGTATTATTTGGGAAATACAATTCAATAGAGAGATTCAATACAAAAAGTAGTATTAACCTTAAAATCTTGTTAAGAATACTTTAGCCAATAAAATTACGATCATTATGGGGAAATGGATCTTAAGGTTTAGAATATAATAGAAGATGTTCAACGTTTAGAAGTGGTAAAAATGAAGAAGTCTTTTACAAAGAAGATGTCAACAAAGTAACAATTTAATGATATCTTGTTACTAGATCGATTAGAATATTGTCAAATAAATTGAGAATAGCATTACATTATTTAGAAGCTGATTGGATTAGCAAGAATAATACATCATTCCAATATAAGTGGGCATCAATTAAAATGAAGAATATTTAGCAGTAAAAATGTTTAGTATTTTTAGAATAATGAAGATGGATATGAAAAAGTGGGATAAAAAATCACTTGAATTATTGATTTGTAGAATATGTGAAAAAAAGGTACAAGCATTTGAAATGAAAATACATTGTGAAGAATGTCAGAAAATTGCTGAAGCAAAGAAACGAATATTAGAATTAAATTTAGAAATGGCCAATCTTTGTGAAGCAGCATATTAAGAAAAAAGAAATGCTTAAGTAAAACAAGCATTAATCAAGTAAGATTTGATAATAGTTAGTAAAAATAAAAAAGTTTAAAAAAATAATAATAAATTTAGAAGAACACAGACTTTCAATAGTGATGAACAAGAAAATGAATAAGAATTAATTAATATAAATAATGCTATGACTATGATTATTAATTATGCTGATAAAATTGTGAATCAATCTAATGATGATCCTAAGTGTAAGAATTATCTGACTAAATAGAAAATTTGGTAATACTTAATGATCTATCCAATGCAGGCAATTACATTGAAAGTAATGAAGCTAAGACTATTATTACACGTGTTCATAAGAGTATTCTTGATAGAATGGAATATTTCAAAAAATAAGAAGGTCATCATTAATAATATGATATGACCCTATAACTGTCCAAAATTTAAGCTATGAAAAAATCCTTCGCAAAACAAAATTCTCTCTCCTTTCGCTAATCTAAGTTTTCTTAAGTCTCTCAATCTCCAAGAAATAGAGTAGCTGATCCTATAATTGAATAAGAAGAAGGAGAAAGGTCTAATTAACCAATCATTCCTAGAAGAAGGGAATTTAAAATGAATACATCCATTTTTAAGATTAATGAAGGTTGTGACAGTCCTAGAATTTCTAATAAACCATATACAGCAAGTTTTATTAATGATCACACAGATTCTGATAGTGTTAAATAACCATTATCTTTTGATTCTGATGCTGGAGATAATAAAGCTCCATCAATAAAAGAAGAACTTAATAATAATACTTCATCAGAAGAATCTAGTTTATCTAATCCATCCAATTAACTCAGAAGATAACTCTAAATCAAATAGAAAAAGAAACGAGTTTCTAATTTCCACTCTCAAGATATTCAATAAGCAAGTACTCCAACATCCTCTTCTTAATAATAAGTTTAAGTAACAAAGAAAAGCAAATTCAGTAGTAATGCTTCCAATAATAGTCCTCAACTGATCTAGGAATAGATTGATCCTGTACACACTGACAAAGGATATCATTCTGATTCAGACATGATCAAGACCAATTCTTCTGTATCAATAGAGTAGAAGAATGTAGGAATTAAGGATTTTGAATTCATTAAACCATTAGGAAAGGGAGCTTATGGGTGGGTATTTTAAGTGAAAAAGAAAGGATCAGGAGATATGTATGCATTAAAGATTATAGATTGTGCTTAAAGAGTATAAATAATATCATTTAATCTTAGAATTTAGAGGCCTTTTTAGAATAATTAAAAGCAGAAAGAAATATATTTGAAATCCTTAATAGTCACTTTGTTGTAAAGGCATATTTTTCATTTGTACATGAACATTATTTATGTTTTGTCCAAGAATATATGGTTGGTGGTGATTTGGCTAGTATTTTGAAAGCATACACAGCTTTAGATGAATTTTATGTCAGACATTATATGGCTGAAATAGTATTGGCTTTGGAATATTTGAGGAATCAAAATATTGTACATAGAGATTTAAAACCAGAAAACATTCTATTAGATTCTTAAGGACATGCAAAATTGGCTGATTTTGGATTATCTGAAAAGGGTTTGAATAGTAGATTAAAAATGAAAAGAGAGGGTTAATAATTACCAGATTGTATCTAGTAATAATTTAATGATTCATCAGAATTTTATGAACATATCAAAAAGGCTGAATCAATATTTATTGAATCTAAAAATAGTGGAAATAAAAAGTATTTGTATATATTTTCTAATTTAGAATTATTGGTACTCCTGATTATATTGCACCTGAAATTATTCAAGGTGTATCAGTAACTAATTATTCAGCAGATTATTGGAGTTTAGGTGTTATTATGTATGAAATGTTATGTGGTATTGCACCTTTTAATGATGACACAGTTGAGAAGATATTTGAGAATATTCTCAATTTAAGAATTGAATGGCCTAAATTAGGAGATGATGGAGTAGAATGTATTTCTTATGATTCCTATGATCTTCTTACACGTCTATTAGAATCAGATTACTAAAAGAGAATTGGCCATATTTCTATTGATGAAATTAAATAACATAAATTCTTTAAAGGTTTTTAATTCTATTTTTATTTAATAGGTATTGAATGGAATACATTACTTAATAAACCAGGTGTAATTATTCCTGATTTGGATTAATCTTCAAGAGACACTGAAAAAATGGAATAATTCTTAGTTAAATTAACAAAACCAACTAAGGATTAGGAACATAAGAAATTAACATAACAATTAAAGAATCAATTGTAAAATTTAGAACGCATAGACTTATTGAAATAAAGAAGTGTGCAAGAGGCTGAGGAATATATGTATGTTGTTCTATTTACCATTTCTTTTAGTCAAACGATAGAAAGAGAATAAAGTTATATACAAAAATAGATTGATTAACTTACTTAATTTACTGCAAAGCTTTATTCTTTAAATATGAAAAATAAATGAATGAATTATATAATATAAGATAACTTGTCATATGATTAGTTTTCTATTGTTTTGTATTGTTAATGCAATAGATGTTAGTATTTCAAATATGGATAGTGCTATAATAGATATTGTCTGGTGTGGTGCTCATAATTAGTCTAATGATAATGTATTAAATCAATCTCTAACATTTTTTTAGATCTTAGTTATGAGTTCAAAAGGAACAATCTATTTAAGTTAAAATAATGGTGATGATTGGTAGAAATTGGCAGAAGTATTTCATAGAAAAGGATTACTTGTATTATAAGATGAAAATGAAAAAGTAGGAGTAGTAAATAAAATATAAAAAAGTCCAATAGACCCACAATTAATTATATTCCTAGGAACAGAATTTGTTAATTGGATATCTCCTGATTGTGGATAAACAATAAATGCAATTTATACAGGCAGATAAATGAGGGAATTTCAATTTCATCCTAAGCGTAAAGATTGGATATTAGCATCTTCATGGTCAAAATGTCAGATGAAATAAAAAGATTGCTTTGTAACTAAGGATCTGATGATTAGTTAAGATATGGGTTTGAATTGGGAGGTTATTGCTAAATATGTAAATTAATATTCATGGGGATTTAAAAGTCCTAATAATGATGTAATCCCAGAGCAAAGAATTTTGATTACTTATGAAC